TAATGTGTTTTGACGTCCAGTTTTTTAATTGGCTTATGAACAGTGACTGAATAGTGGCTATTGAGTAAAAGCCAAATCCTTAAATGATCAAAACTTTTACAAAATAAATTGGTGTATATTATCGTGGGTTGCATTCAGTCCTGTGCGTGCCTCAAACCGTCGATTGGTTCCATGCTAATCTCTCACATTAACATAGCCACTTCCTTGTCCTCGTCGAGGAGGCCGCTCTCCTTCTATCTTACAGTTACATTCTCATTTCTCACATTAACATCACTAGCCCCGGCCACTTCTTTATGACCCTTGGGCTACACCCATTTAAAACCTTTTAAAACAGTCTGCCTCAGCAGCAGGCCATGCTTTCCCACCTGATGACGGACGCTTGTGTTGCGCCCGAAACGTCGTGATTTATTTTATTTTATACCTACGTGACTTTACCGAAAGAACCAAAGAGTATGGTTCCATAAGTCGTATGTCCTGAAGCTATAGATGCTGCCGTTGCGGTGTCACGGTGCACACACTGGATTGGCGATTCAGAGGCCAGCTGTTCGACTCCCATCTCCTGGCACGGTGGTTGACACAATGGCGCAGGTTTCTTAAATCTCCCCCCCGCTCCGCCTGTGTTCACCCAGCAGTTCACCGCGGTGAGTCGCTCGTGCAGGTTGTGTTTGACGGGGTGACGTGTGGGTGCTCCCACCTCTTCCAAGGCAACTGGCCAGAACGGATGAGTCAGGCGCCACGGTGGCGAGATGTTTAAATACCTCGGCTGGTACGCAGGAGGTTCGTGGGTTCGATCCCGACCCTGGTCGCGTGGATTTTTCTCCGGACCCTCTGGTTTTCCCCTCCACATTTATAACCAACACACGAGTTTCGAATATTTGGCCGCTATTAATTTGCGCACGAAAAGGCACTCGGTTGAGCTTTCACTTATGGCCAGGTCGCTTCTGGAAAAGAGCTATATAGCTCAGTGGGCATTACCTGGTAAACATTTTTTATAATATTCCGTGGGTATTTAACTCTATCGGGGAGGGTCTTCCACCAGCGGTGGCGTCGGCAGGCAATTCCTATAGCTGCACCTTTAACTTTTTATAATTACCTTCACAATGACACCCCCCGATGTGTGGTATTCGGATGATTTTGAAATGGTGAGGTTGCATAGCCTGTGGATCTGCCCCACTTGTAAGGGGCTTAGCGCAACGCATGCGGCGCTGCATGCTCGAATGGATGTGTCACGCGGTGTTTGTGGTGCGATTTCATTGCCGTTAATTGCTTTCATGCGCCCGGGAAATGTGCCAGCGGCAGTTGGCACCCGAGACCACTTTGTGCAGCCTAACTGGGTGGCTTCAGGAAAGTGGAAACTAATTTCATTTGGGAACGGAAAGGGGACGCGGCAACAGCACAAGGGCTGCCTATGTGCGGCTGCGCCGATTTCTTACCTCCCCCCCCCCCCTCCTCGTCATCATTGTCATCATCATTCGCTGGGGTCTATCCACTGCTGGATGAAGGCCTCCCCAAGCCGTCGAGATCCCTCACAGTCCTGCAGTGCCGCTATCTATCTTGTGCACGCACGTGAACTTATCTCATCATCGCCCTCTCTGGTGCGATCTACGCCAGTCCTTTGGCTGCCATTCTTTCACCAGTCTCGTCCATCGGCCATCATCCCCACTTGTGATGGGCCCTGGCAAAAACCCAGTTGCTTTCCTCTCGTCGCCCAATGCTCATTGTGCCGCCCCACGGTGGCGAGATGTTAACCAACTCGCCTGATATATCGGAGGTGGTGGGTTCGAATCCCGACCCTGGCGCCTGCATATTTGGAGTTTGCGTGTCTCTCTCCCCGTGGTCGCGCGGATTTTTTTTTGCCCCGGTTTTTCGCTCCACATTTAGAAAATTGCATTTGGAGTATTCGACTGCTATAAATTTACATATGGTGATAAGCCACTTCGTTGAGCTATTATTTGTCTCCAAGTTGCTTCTGAAAAAGAGCGAAATAGTTCAGTGGGCTTTACCTGGTAAAAAAATATTTTTTGTTTTTACAGTTTAATTTCAGTTACCAAAGAAGCTCCCGGCAAGTGGGGCGAAATATCGGACCTCATGATGAACAAGACGCGGTACAACCTGAAAATGCATCGGAGAGGCAGGGTTTGTTGTGGGGGCATCTATTTTTAAGCAAGGTGGAATGTTAGGGAGTGGAGGCTGTGGTGTTATGGGAACGGGCCTTGTCATCCTACAATCTACCCCCCCCAACCCAACCCCTTCCCGTGTGGTGGTTTCTGACGGGGTAGTTTTTCCTGATGATGTTTTCAGAGCGGTGCAGGGAGGTTTGCATGGCGCGAGTTAAACGGTGCGTGCCCAGGAACGTTAGGCATGTGGGGCTTGGAGATATGTCGACACAAAAATGTACTTCCTCTGAAATTTGACAGAGCGTGACACGGGGAGTGGTTAAGAGTAGACCGCAGTTAGTCTCGCGGGGAAGCATACCATGCAGGTGGCTATGCTGGTATAGGTCTTGTATGTGGAATATCGGTGTGGATTCTAAATGCCGTGATGTCAAATTAATGAGCGCCAAACCAAGGCCGGCACCCCGGGGTGCACAGTCTCAGTGCCGCGTTTGTGATGGATTCGACGTGAATTTTAACAAGCGCAAGCGCACGCGAGGGACTCTTCGCTTAAACTTTGTTGCGCAAAAAATAAAATTACATATTCTCTGGCTGGTGGGAATGTGTTGATGCATCGCACGCAGCCGCCGTCAATCACCGCCGCCGTCGGGGTGGAGAGATGGCCGAGCGATGTCTGTGCACGGCGGCACGCGCGCGCGCGCGAGAGAGAGAGAGAGATGGTGTTGTGTCACCGGGGATCGTGCGTGGGCGGCGCGGGGGGCCGTGGTTGGCACCCGGGCGTAGGAGCGGGCCGGCGTCCTGACCAGGCCCCGCCGCGCGCGTTTATAAATTCCACGGATTGATTTGCCCGTGAAACACTCGCGTGCGCGATACAGTGGCAGGGCAGTCGGAGCCGCGGCAGCACAATAGGCCTTTGTGTTGCGCGGGCCCCCACGGTTGTTGTTGCCAGGCCCTTCGGCCGACTGCCGACGCGTAATCTTTGGCGTCACCCGGCCCCAGCCCCCGGCCCCCCCCCCTGTTCCCGATTAAAACCTCCACAGCCCGGAGATTTCCATTTTGTCACTCCACCCGTGGCTCGGCGCAGTGTGGTGATTTATACCGATGATAAATATGTGGAACTTGTGGCATCCATGTGACTGTACCGGGGCGAGCGTGTAAACACGAGTGGCACATTCAGACGATATAAATAATGTAGCAGAAAACGAAAAAGCGAGGTGGGGCATATTGAGAAAGTGCCACAATGCGCCAGTTGGAAACCTACTAAAAAAAAACTTGGCTGGACCCGCTTGAAAGAGAGGTGACGAGACACAGGCTTTCCGGGGTAAACATGCGCAGCGATGTATAATCGGCATCAACAAACGGCAGAGACGCAGCGTCCTGCAGGCAGAGCGCTTTTGCCGGTGACGTCAATACACCGTAAACATCGCAAAACGTTTTTCGAGTGTTGTACACAGAGATTACGCACGTGTGCACACGTGTTGCGCTTTTGTCAGTCCGCTGCTGGATGAAAGCCTCCGCACGCCGGTTAGTGCGCGCGTTGGTGAAGGTGGGGAGCGTGGACGTGGAAACGTAGAAGTACAGTACAACAACGCGTTATTTTTTCCTGCACTGCCCTCTTCGGTCCGCCACTCAGACCCACAAAGTCGATAACCAACAACAGCTGTCATGTGTGACGGTCGCCCATCCGAGCGCTCGCTTGACTCGTCCCTGGTTCGCTTCTGAGAGCTGACACAATCGGGCGCATTCTGGTCGATGGTGTCGCAGGGCACCGTAAGTCCACACGAGTGGTGAAATTTGCGAAGTGTAAATGATTAGTTCCCAAGTTGCGTCGTCCTCCAAACCCACTCGTGTGCGGTTGCTGCGATTGCTCACAATGGGCCAAATGTGCTCTGCAAGCTCGTGTGCACGCAGAGGACACTCTACAACACAGTGTGGCATCTAAATGCCACCGCATCTCAAGACACTGTACAGAAACAGTGGGGCGCCTTTCCTTTCTAGAGAAGAAGTCGGTCGTACGCAGAGGAGCAAAGGAACGAACCTGGACGTGAACCAGGGGCAGGGAGACGACTGCACAGATTGCTGGGGGAAGGGAGTTATCGACTGTGGGGGCAGCAGAGGAGAATGAGTGACTTCCCACCAAGCGAAGGCTGTCTGGGGGGGGCTTGGATAGAAAGCCTTGGTGGCTGGAGCGGAAAGTGGAGAAGAGTGAAACGAAAGAGGAGAGGTTGGAGAGAGCATGGCGGAGAGTATAGATTGAGATGAGAGCGGAGACGTCGGCAGGGGTGAGTCCGTTCTAGGATTCGGTGTCAAGATGTTATCTCCCTCGCCTGGTACGTATGAGGTCGTGGGTTTAATCCCGACCCTGACGATGCCTGCATCTTTGGAGTTCGCATGTTCTCCCGGGGGTGGTCGCGTGGATTTTCTCAAGGTCTTATGGTTTTTATTTCCGCATTGGGAAACGTGTTGAGATTTTTGTGGCTCCTATATAAATTCCCACGTGATGATATCAGCCACTGCGATGAGCTATTATTCGTGGCCAGGTTGCCTAAAAAAAAAGAGCTAATAGGTAAGTGGGCTTTACCTGATAAAAATAAATACGTTTTTTGTCGTTAATAGCTTAAACGTATGTGTATCATTGAATGGCCTGTAGTCACTTGACCCAGGAGATGTGTGACTGATTGCGCCAAGCGTTGTGCAGTGTTGGGGTTTTGCCCTTCGCCGAATGCTGAGAAGATCCAGCCGCTTCCACTGCCCGCTCAGCGCCTCGCTGTTCTGCTTCGGCACCGCCATAGAGGCGGCTTGCGTTCGACGTCGCCGTGCGTGAGAGAGTGCCGAGACCGCTGGTGCGACTGCGTGCGGGCGTGACCACGCGTGTGTCCCCCGCAGGCGAGGATGTGCCGCAAATGGTGCCCGGCCGCTCCGAGTCCCTGGCGTCGGACTCCAGCACGCCGACGCTCAAGCGCAAGAGCAAGCTGTCGTCGCTCGGCAAATTCCTCAAGCCGTGGACGTGGCGCAAGAAGAAGCCGAGCCCCAAGTTCCAACAAACTTCCGAAGGTGAGTACGTCCACGGGCACTGTTTCCGCGGCAAGGCATAGATCTGGGCGACATCCACATTCGGGCGAACATCACCTTAAAGCGGTGCTCTTCACTCGTTTTCAAAGGGGGGCCACTTTCGCCAATAAGACATTATCAGCGTGAGGGCCGCCACACATTAAGAATCGATTGGGGTTTGACAGCAGCACGAGGATGGGGGTGTTGTCACGTGTTGTGTATTGTCAGGGGCCACAGGTCAGGGGCCGCACTAAAGGCCGTCAGGGGCCCCCAGTGGCCCGCGGCCCTGCAATGAAGAATACTGCCTTAAAGTCTATTTTATTAATTATCAAGGAAGCTTCAAACTTGGCTCGGACAAGCTGGGATACACGGCTGAGGCATGCGTCGACAATATTAGATCCGTTAGTGGTTGCGTTTCCCCTGGAACCCAGGTTAACAGGTTCCTCGCCCTGATGTGCATGCGGCGCCCGTGTGGGGTCTCCCTTATTAAAGTGGCTCGTGTATCAGTGGCCCGTCGTCGCCTGGTTATAATTTAGCACGCATGTTTTTTTTCCTAGCCACGGCATGATCCCAAGCGTAGATTGCCAAGTCAGGCCACGTGTTGAGCATTTATTCCATCACACTTTCTCCACTCACTACTGCTGGCATCTTCACAAGTTCACGTGAGGAATCTCACCTGGTCTTCTTCCACTCTTTCACGTTTTCTGGTTTTCCGATTGAATGTTTGTCCTGGGGGTGCCGGGGAATTCTCAATTTCCTGTCCGGGACTTTCTGAGAACACCCAGTTTTCCCACCTGACCAGCGCACTGGGACAGGACAACTGTCAATCATCACTGCTGTCGTTGTTGTTGTTGACAATGGTGGTGATGTTTGTGTGTGTGCAGTGTTGGAGCGGAAGATCTCCATGAGGCTCAGTCGGGAGGAGTTGATAAGGAAGGGGCTCCTGAGAGATGTACCTGAAAGTGGTGAGCCCTGGTTTGCAGTGTAATTCACGAGCCCTTGCAGTGACTACTAAACACTTGCGTGATGTAGGAGGTACCAGAAGCGTTGGTTATATCTTGCCAACTAAGTTTGAAAGTATCTCTGCATTATCTTTCTGTCCAACTGTAGAGGGTGGCTACGCTATAAAGATGATCCAGTACAAATTATTTTTAGTAGAAAGTTGTCTTGCTTTGACGGACTCACTCTCGTGAAAACCAAACGCATTGATCAAAGCGTTGCCCGATATTTGGAGACTCAACCTAGAGGAAGATCAACTTTGCCTGCATACGCGCGACGTGCGTCCACGACGTGCGTCCACGACGTGCGTCCATGACGTGAACCCGCGTCTGCCCCCTTTTTGCGCGTCGGTGCAGTCCTGGAGAGGGCATCGATCAGGGAGGAGGCTCCCTTGGGGAACGGCCACGTGGCTTCGGAGCTCGCCTCGGAGGAGGAGCTGAGAGTCGGCGACGGCTTCTCGACCCCGGCACACCCGACGGATTCGGGTTCCGAGGATCAGGCAGTCCACGGAGGCGGTGCGGAGTTGGGGGGGGGGGGGGGGGGGGGGGGGCGGGTTTTCAGGGTTAGGAGGGTCGCACTTTACCTTGAGCCCAGCGGCAGCGCGATCACGGGCCCCAGCGGCGAGCACGTTTGCCGCACATTGCAGAGGGGATTGCGGTTCCAGGCCCCAACGGCCGCCCTGGTCAATACTGCGGATGTGGTAACCATGAAACCGGCTTTACAGTGGACGTTAAAGATCCCGTTCAGTCAGTTTATTTTGGGTACGGGTCCCATTAAACTTAGAAGCTCATTTTTAATGACGACACGGCTAAAACGCCAAGTGTGTTACATGGAAAAGGGAGGGTTTAGAGGGACTACTGCATAGAACAAGAGCAGGGAAAATGTATAAACATCAATCAAAATGTATTTCTATAGCACTATTCGTGCAAACAAAAAATCAATATATAGTGCTTTACAGGCATGAACAATAAAAATGAAATTGTAGGCAAAATAAAATCACGTTACAAATTTCTAGCGAAGACATAATAAAAATAACGCATTAAGAAAATCCTAATTAAAGGCAAGTTTAAAAAAGTAAGTTTGTTGATTTATTTTAAAAGTGCTTAATGATAAACATAATTAATAACCAGTGAGAAGTATGTACAATGGCAATCCAGAATTACTTTATACAGGACACTCGTGAGATGAACTCACATATGGTATTTGAAATGCCATCATGGTCCAAATTTAATAAACTACTTGCAAATGTATTCTTGGTTCTTTTGGTAAAGTCACGTAGATAGAAAACAAAATATTAATAATGAAATAAATTATATATTTTTTTGCTTTCTATCTACGTGACTTTACCGAAAGAACCAAGACTATGAATTCCTGCAGTCACGAAAATTTTAAGTCTAAATTTTACGTGCATATGACTTGATTGGGAAGCCACGTAACATCGCCCCCTACTGGGAGACTAATGCCGACTGGTGGGCCGGTGTTGCATGCATTCACCTTGTTCCTCGCAGGGGCAGCTGCCACTGGGGGTTCCCTGCCACAGGGCATCTCTATGTACTGCATGGGAGGCACGGTATGAAAGCGATAATGGTGATGAATAGCACAGAGCTGGCAACCTCTTGAGATCGTCGGCTGTAACCCAGGTGCCGGGTGCCTGCGATTAATCCAGGTTCGCGAGTTGAAGGTCTTAGCCCCGTTGCCAATGTCTGCATTGCGCAAGAATACAACATCTAATTTAATCTGTTTTTCAGATAATTTAGGCTATTTCCAGCTCCTGTTTCCCATGCACAGCAGGGCATGTGAGAAGGAGCAGCACCACCTGGGGTGGATAAAATGTAATCGAAGGGCTCTCGGAAGTGGTTCTGCGATGCCGTCTTCCATGGGAGTCACCGTATTAATATCAAGTGATTGATGATGATGATGGTGACTGTTGGACTGTTGGCTCAGCCTTACGGCCGTCGCGGCATAAAGGCCTCTCGCGGCCCCGTCCGGCCCGGCCCGGCCCGTTCGTGCAGCACCTGACGGTTGTCACCGTGCGCGGTCGCTCGTTCTCTAGGCCAAGACTCCCGATTGCAGCCGAGTTCGACGACGACGTCCCGAGCCGAGCGGCGGGACACGAGCGACGACGCGGTCACGCAGAGCCGGGCGCCACCGCATAAAGCTTCCAGCACCATCGGCTCCACCTTCGGCGCCCCCACTTACCAGCATTCAACATTGCCCAAGGTCCCCAGCGGCAGCAGCAACCTTCAAACCAACATCGGTACGCTCGCACCCAGGCGATCCCGAGAGGGGGTCCCCCCTATGGCGGGGTGTTTTGGCCTACTCTGTCATGCTGGCCCCGACGTCTTGGAAGAGCTAGGATTACCCACAAAAATTAACGCCAACACGACGCACGAGGGGATGGTGGTGTGGCTTGCACCGTGCCGGCCCGCCTTTGTCTCCCCGGTGGCGACGTTTTAACACACCGCGCAAGGTGCTTATACAAGGCTGAGTTGACCTGGGTGTTGTTGGCCATATTCATTGGCTTTGCGTGCTCCTCGTGTTACAGTGCGGGTGTCAGTCGCCAAATTCATTACAACGCGCGGCTGTTTGTTTGGCGATGCCGGGTGGGAGCGTACGAAGGTTGCGAACCCTCGGTTATTAGGGCATTCCGCACGCACGCAGTGAAGTGTCCTCGCGTTGCAGATAATTATTACCCGGCGCCGTTGACCGACACGGGAGAATTGGGCTTGGCTCAACAAGTGTCCCCGGCGCGAGTTGGAGCTGCGAGCCCTCGGGAAATGCACGCACATTGGCGGGCCTTAAGTTAAGTGGCCACCGGCTCGACATTATTTTATTCTCCCCGTGAGCCAGAGGGAGAGGTGGGGAGCTGCCGCCGTGTAATTGTTAGCAGACTGGAATTGCAACCCAGATGTCGCCGGTTGGGTTGAATTTGATTTCGCATTGGGAAAGTGTCTCATGAATCCTTTTGCCTCGATCTGACGAGATATGATGCCATTTAACGGCACTAGTTTAACGTGACCTTATTGGTTATTTTCATGCGACACCGCTGGCTGATATCGATTAGCTGATGAAAATGTCAAACGCGGAGTGGTATTAAGAATTTGGCGTCAACACAGCAGCATAACGCATTTGCAGTGCAACATACCGTGAATGTCAAACAGTCACACTGCACAATTCACACGGTACTGACAGTTCTGTCCACCCAGCTATAATTGGGTCCAGGCCAGATACACCCTCTCGGGCAGTGTTCTACACCCACTTTCAGAGGGGGCCCACTTTTGGCGATAAGATATCAGTGTGAGGGCCGCCACACATTTTAAACCATTGGGGGTTGGCAGCATGATGGGGGGGGGGGTGTTTTAACATTCGTGTATTGTAGGGGGCTGCACTTAGGGCCACCAGGGGGTCGTCAGTGGCCCGCAGGGCCTTGCAATGAAGAACACTGGTCTAGAGTGCTTGCCCGCGGTGGCCTGTGCACCAGCAGTGGCATGATCAAAATAAATTGCATGGCTGCACCTTTACTCGTCGGAGGTCATTGCTCATCCGTCATCTGTCAAGTCCACGATCGCGAAATTGCTCCCAACAACGCTCCCAACAACGCTCCCTCTTTCTTGCGTGCCGGCACCACGGCAGATGACGGCGCCCAGGTGCAGGGGCCGCCGCCGCTGCAGGGTCGCCCCTCCCCCCTGCTGCCACCACGAGCCCACGACCCCGGGGCCGGCCAGCGGAACCCCCCCTCGGCCAGGAGTTCGGGGGGGGGGCCGGCAGCCCCCTCCGGTGCTCCCCAAGCCCGGCGCCCGCATCGCCCAGGCGAACGGTGAGTCCACGGCGCGGGGGGCCACCTTCCTCGATTGCACGGCGTCGATACCGCTGTGACTTCTCCAGGCCGGTGCTGGGGTGGAACTCGGCCTCCTGAAGGGGAACAGTGATGGGGTTTGGGTCAGAGTTAGTTACCATGAATGATCTAGGTGAGCGTTTACATGTCAGGATTTAAGATGGTTGTGAGTCGTCTACATTTGGATTGAAATTAGTGAGTGTTGTACACTAGGGTTATGTGGCCAGAGTTACTGAATTGTGAGCAATGTGAGCGTTCTCTGAACCCCCTGCACCTCTGTCTCCATCTTAACTGTGCAGCGAGAGAGGAGCACGGCGCGAGGGACTCCGTGGGGAACTCCGCACGTCCTCCCAGCAACCGCTCCCCCCTCTTGCCGGCCAGGCCCTCCTTGGTGGACGCGCCGGGCGCCTCGGAGTCGGGGAACCCCGCGGTGCAACCCCGGCCTGGGCACGGTGGGCCCGTGCCCAGGCCGCACTCCGGCCTTCCCCCGAAGCCTCCCGTCCGCACGAGTTTTCCTGCCGGCGGTGAGGGGGAGCTACGATGTCACGAGGGTTGCAGCGATACGATTGCTTTGACGATGTGATTCGCAATGTCGGTTTTTCAATAACTCTGCACAAATTTAAAAATGAAAAACTGTCCAGTAGTGTGCAACTACAGTCATCCAGGACAGGCCGTACAACGTGTAAAGACGCAATGCCCCGATCCACAAATACGAAGGAGACATCACGGCGATACACTCCGCCGCTCCTGACGCGGTTATCTGGGCTTGACAACCTGAATGTGAAATTGTAGTCGTTGCTCTGCATCTACATCAACCGTACGAAAGAAGAAGAAGAATAACCCTGCAATTGTGTTTCGCAATGTTATTGCCTTGTTATTGTGTCTTAATTCACGTAAGAGTTCTACGCCTCTGTGATCCAACAAGGCGAGGCTTTCTGTCGAAGTCCCCAGGCATGTTTTGCTCAGTGGCAGGTCGCTCATTCTTCTCTGCTGCCCCCATTGTCTGGACCTGCTTTCCTCCAGCCATTCCGTGCTTTTGGCTGCCCGCTCCTGTTCACGTCAATTCTCAACACCCTCAACTCCAGTTCACTCCGCATAAGCCTGTCATAAGCCTTCTGATCTGTGAAACTTGACATTTGCACACAACATAGTTAAATATTTATATGAACGACATAAAAACGATGTCATATAACCACCACCATGCTAACAATTGTCTTTGTTATTTCGTAAATATTTTGACTCCCAATTAATATACTGAGCAAAAAATAATCACGACACAGCAATATTCTGGAAAACAGACGACACGATTATCGTGTGACCATATATACCATATGATGTACATCTTAGACTTGCCAAGATGCGGCGCACAAGAGAGGCGTCATATGGTGGTGGGATCAGAATGACGTCGGTCGCCTTTACGAGGCCACGGCGGACGTGTGAATAGCAGCGGTGGTAGCGGTAGACTCCGCATTCCTCTTTGTCATATGCGGAGTCTGGTGTCCTTCCCCCGCATCTCCGATAAGCACGGACGGCTACGTACGGTGCGAAATAATTTCCACATACATACAATGTATAACGTACGTGAAGTTCATACCACGAGCAATAGCGTTCAATGGACTGCCTATGCACTTGTCAGTAGAGTGGTGAACGTTGTGTACACTTGAGTAGAGCCGTGGTTAATGAAAGGCTCTGTGAGTGAGATCGTGTGGTTGGAAGGCCCAATCGGATGACGTCGGTTGATTGCGTCTGTCCCCGCTGTTGGGCTGCAGGGGAGAGCAGGCAGGCGGCTGGAGGCGGCGGCGGCGGTGGAGGTGGTGGTGGAGGCAACTCGGAGTCCCATGCGCCAAGCGGCGCTGGCCCTGCTGTCCCTCTCCGCAAGTTCGGAGTGGTTGGGCTTCCGCCGTCTCTACAGCCGGCTCCGTCGGACCGACCGGAGTCCCAGCACCCTGAGCCCGACACGCCGAACTCTGTGCCGCAGCCTCCGCACATGCAGCACAGGGTAAGCAGCAGAAACAGCAGTGGCAGCAGTAGCAGCAGTAGCAGCAGGTACAGCAGTAACAAGAACATCGGCAGCAGGAACAGCGGCAGAAGAAACAGCTGTAGCAGCAGGAACAGCAGCAACAGAAACAGCTGTAGGAGCAGGAACAGCAGCAGCAGAAACAGCTGTAGCAGCAGAAACAGCTGTAGCAGCAGGAACAGCGGCAGCAGAAACAGCTGTGGCAGCAGGGACAGCAGCAGCAGGAACAGCAGCAGCAGAAACAGCTGTAGCAGCAGGAACAGCAGCAGCAGAAACAGCTGTAGCAACAGGAACAGCAGCAGAAACAGCTGTAGCAGCAGCAGAAACAGCTGTAGCAGCAGCAGAAACAGCTGTAGCAACAGGAACAGCAGCAGAAACAGCTGTAGCAGCAGAAACAGCTGTAGCAGCAGGAACAGCAGCAACAGAAACAGCTGTAGGAGCAGGAACAGCAGCAGCAGAAACAGCTGTAGCAGCAGAAACAGCTGTAGCAGCAGGAACAGCGGCAGCAGAAACAGCTGTGGCAGCAGGAACAGCAGCAGCAGGAACAGCAGCAGCAGAAACAGCTGTAGCAGCAGGAACAGCAGCAGCAGAAACAGCTGTAGCAACAGGAACAGCAGCAGAAACAGCTGTAGCAGCAGCAGAAACAGCTGTAGCAGCAGCAGAAACAGCTGTAGCAACAGGAACAGCAGCAGAAACAGCTGTAGCAGCAGAAACAGCTGTAGCAGCAGGAACAGCGGCAGCAGAAACAGCTGTGGCAGCAGGAACAGCATCAGCAGGAACAGCAGCAGCAGAAACAGCTGTAGCAGCAGGAACAGCAGCAGCAGAAACAGCTGTAGCAACAGGAACAGCAGCAGAAACAGCTGTAGCAGCAGCAGAAACAGCTGTAGCAGCAGCAGAAACAGCTGTAGCAACAGGAACAGCAGCAGAAACAGCTGTAGCAGCAGCAGAAACAGCTGTAGCAGCAGCAGAAACAGCTGTAACAGCAGGAACAGCTGTAGCAGCAGAAACAGCTGTAGCAGCAGAAACAGCTGTAGCAGCAGAAACAGCTGTAGCAGCAGAAACAGCTGTAGCAGCAGGAACAGCAGCAGCAGAAACAGCTGTAGCAGCAGGAACAGCGGCAGCAGTAATAGCTGTAGCAGCAGGAACAGCAGCAGCAGAAACAGCTGTAGCAGCAGAAACAGCAGCAGCAGAAACAGCTGTATCAGCAGGAACAGCGGCAGCAGAAACATCTGTAGCAGCAGGAACAGCGGCAGCAGAAACAGCTGTATCAGCAGCAACAGCGGCAGAAGTAACAGCTGTAGCAGCAGGAACAGCAGCAGCAGAAACAGCTGTAGCAGCAGGAACAGCGGCAGAAGTAACAGCTGTAGCAGCAGGAACAACAGCAGCAGAAACAGCTGTATCAGCAGGAACAGCGGCAGAAGTAACAGCTGTAGCAGCAGGAACAGCAGCAGCAGAAACAGCTGTAGCAGCAGGAACAGCGGCAGAAGTAACAGCTGTAGCAGCAGGAACAGCGGCAGCAGAAACAGCTGTAGTAGCAGGAACAGCGGCAGAAGTAACAGCTGTAGCAGCAGGAACAGCAGCAGCAGAAACAGCTGTAGCAGCAGGAACAGCAGCAGCAGAAACAGCTGTAGCAGCAGAAACAGCTGTAGCAGCAGGAACAGCGGCAGCAGAAACAGCTATAGCAGCAGGAACAGCGGCAGCAGAAACAGCTATAGCAGCAGGAACAGCGGCAGCAGAAACAGCTGTAGCAGCAGGAACAGCGGCAGCAGAAACAGCTATAGCAGCAGGAACAGCGGCAGCAGAAACAGCTGTAGCAGCAGGAACAGCGGCAGCAGTAATAGCGACAGACCTGACACCAGTGTTAAGGCCCAGCGGCGGCACGTTTGCCACTTGTTTGCAGAGGTTCATGGTTCGAGTCCAGCAGCCATCCTGGTTAATACTATAAATGTGTTGTTGTAACTGTGTAATATTCGCCGTCTGCTTCATGGCAGTCGTTAAAGATCCAAATTTGCCACATTTCTAAATTACTCGCAAATTATCCCATTGGATTAATCCAAATAACAACATCGCCCCCCGAATGCGAAACTGCTGCAGACTACACCCGTCTGTGATACACAGCGCCTTCGTGATAGCGTTTCACGATAGAATGGACATGATCTCCTCCCCAGAATAACGAGCTGGGGGAGGGCAGCGCCAGCAGCGGCAGTGACAAGAGGCCATGCATCGATTGCCTCGCCGTGGATTGCCGCTCCTGATTCCCACGCTCATTCGTCGTGCATTTTGCAACTTGCAGGGTCCTCTCAGGGGCTCGCAGACGCAGCCGGAGACGATGGATGCGAGAGCCAGGGAGGTGCAGGAGCTGGACCAAACCACGGGCGCAGCATCGCGAGGGATGCACAGGTAGGGCGTCGTGCGGCGTCCCCTCTCACCCGCTTTGCCATTGGTCTGTGGGTCTCTGTCTAAGTCTATGGGTGTCTGTGTCAGCCTATGGGGTCTCTGTATGAGGCTGTGGATCTATGTGTCGAATCTGTGGGTCAATGTTTTTGTACAACATCTTGAGACTCAGTCACATGTAGACACTATATTAATCCACCGTGTGTTGTTATTTCTCACCGGGGCGCTGGCTTGTGGCCGGGATGCATTTGCCTCTGCAGCCCGTCAGCCGATGGCACCGGCACCACATCTCAGTGCCCGCCACCGGGGCCCCGCATGCCCCAGGCGGCCCGTCAACCCGCATCATCGTCAGCGCCACCGCCACGGCCGTCAGAGTATCCTAGCGACACGCAGCTGATCATGTGGACTGCGACATCAGAACCGGGAATCCCGTCCGGTGGCCGTGCCGCCCCGGCCCCGGCGTCAAGAGATCGCGGAGACACGAGGGAGGGCGAGGAACCCCAGCAGCGCCGTCCGCCGGGATCACCGGGACGTCCACCCCACCCTCCGGGAGACGGATTCTATGGTGGCGGCGGCGGCAGGGGCGGCACCAGAAGAGGTCACCAAGAGGACAACGATGTCGACGATTACGATGATTCCGTGGGCCCCATTGGGCCCATCTCGGGCGTGCGCCTGGAGGAAGTCCTCGAGTTCCTCATGCAGCCTTCCGGAGGAGGCCAGGACAATGGTTCAGATGATGCCACCACGGAGAATTGTGTCACCGGCGTACAGATGCACCACGATCACCACCCTGATCACTACCCTGATCATCGCTACGATCACCATCCTGATCACCGCCCTGACCATCGCCACGATCGCCATCGTGATGATCACCACTCTAATCACCACCATAATCACCACCATAATCACCACCCTGATCACCATCCTGATCACCACCCTGAACACCACCCTGAACACCACCCTGAACACCACCCTGATCACCACCCTGATCACCACCCTGATCACCACCCTGATCACCACCCTGATCATCAACACCACGACCACCGCCACCACGACCATCACGACCACCACCATCACGACCACCACCATCACGACCACCACCATCACGACAACCAATATGACCATAACCATAACGACCACGATGATGACAACAAGGAAAATGTGGGCACAAGTAAAACCTCCTTCCCTGACGATCAGCAAGGGCTCTACCAGGACGACGAGGATGATGATGGGCCCATCCTGTACCGTGACGATGATGACGACGACGATGATGATGGGCCTGTCCTCTACCGGGATGATGAGCAAGAGGATAACGACGACGAAGTGGAGATGACGGGTTAGTATCCTGATGAGAGCCCCTCACATGTGCAGCCTTCCTCTGTGCGTGTGTGTGTGTATGATTGTGTGTATCGGGCAGCGGTAGTGTCACGGTTTGCGCGCTGCGCTACAAACCCGGCAACCCGTGTTCAATTACCGCTCACGGCCAACACCAGTGACGATTATCTGAACCGTTCCTGGGACTCCCCAAGGTCGACTCGGCCTCAAATGAGTACCTGGTGTGGTGTGTAAGCATTACCACTAGGGAGATAAGAGTCACAGTCTGTACGTGTTGTGCTAACTCGCTGTGTGTGTGTATGTGCCGAGTCAGTATGTACGTGCTGTGCTGACTCGCTATGTTTGTGTATGTGCCGAGTCATAGTCTGTACGTGTTGTGCTAACTCGCTATGTTTGTCTATGTGCCGAGTCACAGTCTGCATGCTATGCTGACTCGCTGTGTGTGTGTATGTACCGAGTCACAGTCTGTACGTGCTGTGCTAACTCGCTATATTTGTGTATGTGCCGATTCACAGTCTGTACGTGTTGTGCTGACTCGCTATGTTTGTGTATGTGCCGAGTTACTGTACATGTTGTGTTAAGTCGCTATGTTTGTGTATGTGCCGATTCACAGTCTGTACGTGCTGTGCTGACTCGCTATGTTTGTGTATGTGCCGAGTCACAGTCTGTACGTGTTGTGCTAACTCGCTATGTTTGTGTATGTGCCGAGTCACAGTCTGTACGTGTTGTGCTAACTAGCTATGTTTGTGTATGTGCCGAGTCACAGTCTGTACGTGCTGTGCTGACTCGCTATGTTTGTGTATGTGCCGAGTCACAGTCTGTGCGTGCTGTGCTGACTCGCCACACGGCTCTACTGCCCGCAGGGCTCCTCGCCAAGGTGCGTAGGAACCACTCCCTGGTGGCCGCACGATCCCTGGGTCACGACCCTGAGGTCGGTGACCCCCAGCAGGGTCACATGGGGGAGGCGTGGCAAGAGCTGCGCCAGCAGATCGGCACCGCGCTCACCAGGTGCGCTCACCACCCCTCACCTCACCTCACTCGCCACTCTCACCAGGTTTAAACACCACCACCAGCCATCTCACCACACCTACTCTAGGTCCACTCGGCACCCACCTCACTGATCACTCACCTCACCACGCTCACCATTCACATCACCACGGTCAACATTCACCTCACCACACTCGCCAGCCACCTCACCACACTCACAATTCACCACAGCCCACAACAGTGCGGCTGCGGTCATCGATCTCACACAGTAACACCACTGGCTTACTCGCCAACCTCCACGTGAACGTAGAAGCATTGCCGATCGACTCCCCTCTGCCGTACGAAAGAATAAGAAGCGGCTTAGCCGGGCGGTGGTGGCTACGCACTGGGCCTGTAATCCAGCACTGTCGAGGCAGCAAGGGTTGGCGGATCACCGCACAAATGTTGCCAAACTCCCCGTAGGCGTCGAGGTGCCATACCCTGGCTCGCCAGGCAAAGGCAGTGCAGAGTGTTGCCCGCTCCCCCCCCCCAATTACATGTCTGTGTTTTCTCCGGGTGCTCCGGTTTCCTCCTAACGGACATAAACACTTGAAAATTGTCTGAAAACGTCTTAATATGTAGAGGACTACAGAGCTTGAGCGATTGCTTATGACCAACTCACTGCCTGGGTGCCTTCCAGCTCGTGTGTGGCTCCGGCGATTGTGAGATGTGATATAGTAAACTAATCATTATTATATGGTTAATCGACAATTTTTTTCTAAAATTTGCACGTGTTTACTTTTCCCCCGCAGGCGGCTCAGCCAGAGGCCTTCAATGGAAGAGCTAGAGCAGAGAAACATCCTGAAGCGTGAGTGAAGCACAGACGCACGGACAGTGTTTGCTACAACCACTGTTGTTGTTGTTGTGTCGTGACATCGCTCCCAGCGGCTCAAAGTATCGCCATAATTCATTGCAGAGCGGAATGAGGAGGAGGAGAGAGAGGAGAAGAGAGAGATCAAGCGCCAACTCTCGAGGAAGGCAAGTTTCAAGCGCCAGAGGCGCCGGCGCGGCAGAGGTGGTGCCTGGTTGTGCCCACCATAATGACTGGGCATGTGAGGCCTGTCGCATCAATTAATAATAACACTTTTATTTTATATAGTGTTATTCATGCCAACAGCATCCCACAACGCTGTACATTAATTATATACAATGACCAAATTCCATGTACGCAGTTGGCTGTCCACGGCGTGAAAGAAGCCCAACACACACACACACCAAGCAAATGGAAACCCCTACTATCAAGCAAAAAAAAAAGAGTAAACAAATGAAGAAATCGCACCAAAACGACGATTGCTGCCTTGCGGGTACAAAACGATAGAGCGGAACGTGAACGGGCTTGCCGTGTGACTTGACGGGACCAATCCCGGGCCCCACGCTCTTGAATGGAAGCACTACCCCGGGAGTGCCGGGGGAGTGTTTTTAAATGGTTGTCGCTGCATGGCCGGTAATGACGGCATTTCCCGCACGCGGCGTCTCCACGCTGTGGGTGAACGTGACAGTCACGCGCGTGTCCGTATCCGTGTCCGTGCACGTGCAGCTGAGCATGCGGCCCACGGTGAAGGAGCTGCGCGAGCGGAAAATCCTGCGCTTCAACGACTACGTGGAACTGGCCGACGTGCAGGACTACGACCGCCGTGCCGACAAGCCCTGGACGCGGCTCACCGCCGCCGACAAAGTACGGCCGCCACCCCGTCCCCCTGACCCCCCGCCCCCCCGCCCCCAACAGCCCGGTTCGCTGGCCCCTGCCACCGCAGGTCGAGGGAACGACAGCAACACCAAGGAGATGCTGAGGAGATTCTATGGAGAATATGGGAACGCCGGTGGGGGGGTGGGAGGGCGGGACATGGGGACAGCAGGATGATGACAGAGGAAATGGAGGGTCTCTTGGGGGTAATAGAGTGGGTGGGATGACGATGGTGGGGAGAGTGGGGAAACCCCATGGGGGCAGCAGGAGCAGTTCTGGGGCAGCAGGAAGACTGCAGACTCTGAGGTGGGACGACATGGATACTGGTGTCACAAGGGCATCAGGGGGATGACATACATGGTGGGATACCGGGGACAATGTAGAGGATCACAGGGATGTGGTGGAGGAACACGGGGACATTGGGGCGAGCACGCAATGGGGGGATGATATAATGGAGTTGGCTGAACATCTCGATATTGGTCCACCGAGCTTGGGTAATTGTTAAGGCCGATTCTGGCAGCCTTCCCCCGCTTGCCTGTGTTTTACTGTGCCTCCAAATCGTTTTCTCTGTGTGAAGATAAAGGAAAACTGCGTGCAGTGCAATTTCTGTTATCGTTATTATTGCGCGACGCTGGTGATACGGGAGGGAGTGCCACATGTGGGCGCCGTGGGGTTCTACGAGCACACCGATGGGACTTGGTGGGGGGATGTGGTATCCGGCGACGCTCGCTGGTATCCGGGATTCCGTGTGCCGTGGTGGCTGCCCCCTTTGTTAATGTGAACGTGTCGTCACCGTGCGTGCCTGCGTGCGTGCATGGCCTGCGTGCGTTCCAAGGCGGCGATCCGCAAGGAGCTCAACGAGTTCAAGAGCATGGAGATGGAGGTGCACGAGATGAGCCGGCACATGACGAGGTGAGGAGAGACACTCGCACGCACCCTCCCCCGTCCACCTCGCCAGCCCTGTTGTAGCATCAGGCCGTGGGGTTGGGGGCTAGAGAGGGCTGCGTCCCCCCCGTCCTCCTTCTGAAGGCTCGCACCCCCCCCTCCCCCCCACCTTCAATAGCTGGAGGTAGAGCGACAAAATGCACAAATGAGTCCAATTATAAGCGATGGGCATTTCAGCCTTTCCTCGAATACACAAGGGGTGAGAGCCAGAGCAGCATTCACGATAGACACAAGCGTATCGCACCGTTACTCATTCTGTTCAGCGCTTGACATTTGTTTAAAGTTTATTTAATATTGACTGTGGCATATTGCCTACCCCCCCCCAATTCCTAGTCTGGGGAGTGAGGAGCTTGTGTAGTACTTCAGTTCTGATGAAAAATACAAATCGTTTTTTTTATTGTATGCGGATGTTGCTCTCTCCCACCACCAACCCCCCCCCCCCCCCTGCAGGTTTCACAAACCGTGACGTCACGACACCCTGCACATTGCACATCCTCCCGCAGGCCACGTCCTGCTGCCTCGGGGACCCGGTGTTCGTCACCCGTCACAAACAAAAATAATAATCGAGCTACGTCTTGTGCCTCGCGCCGGATCGGAGCGGAGGCGAGGATGGACATTGTCGGACGATCCTAACGAAATCATCTATCGCTCTTTACAAACACGGAGATCTCTACTAATTGCTCGGATGCCTTGGAAACAAAATCAAGCATATCACTCGGGATCGGCAGTAGTTGGAGCAGCAAGAGGCAGGGTGGCCTGGAGGCGAAGCGGCCGTGGATCAAGCGGCGTTCCTCGTGGCCTGCCCCTGCCAGACTTGACCGATGCTAATTATATCCTGATTTGCACTTTGTCCACTCTGCGCTAATCATTACAGGAAAGGGACTGAATTGTTATGTCGCTTGTCAACTTTCTTTTTTATGTTTGTGACACGGTGGGTTTTGACTGCCCACCGGCTCAACAACAAAAAAAACGGGCTCTAACCGGGCACCGATATTTACTTTGTTGTACTGCGACCACGCTAAGTTATACAGTGACATTGTTTCTGATCATTTTATTGTCGAGGAGGGTTGGGTAACGTGCATGGGCACGCCCCCGGAGTGCGCCCGCCATTTTACGTCGCGATCGGAATGCAGAGCGCTAAACGCGGGGTTTGTAGCTCGGAGCGTCAGCTGCCTCTGCTGTCTGAGCGGCGTCTTAAGCTCTCGACGGCCAGCTAGGGTTTGCCACCCCTGGGGTACAAAACATCCAGGACACATGGGAAGAAGAATATCTCACGAAACCAGAAGAGGTGGGGGGGGGGGGTGTGAGAATGACATGTGAATGCATTGTCTTGAGCAGTGTATCATTATGCAACTGACAAAAACTGGGATTTTTGTCCGGATGCATGTTGAACTTATTTTGCGTCGCACGTAACCAACTGCGCTAATCGGAGGTGCGGGGGAAGAACAACTTTTAATGTCCCGGGAAGACTAACCGATTTACCAGGGGCGCTTCTTCGAAACAGGGGTCAATCCTGGGAAAACCAGGACAGAGGTGGCATCCCGAGGGGCCCAGTGCTGTCCATGCAGTAAATTAATGAAGTGAGCGTATGGGATTTAATCCACTCTGAAGCCGGATGTAACACGTGGTAATCTTACGGTTTTAACAATGAAGGTAACATTCGCCCAATCTTAATGCTATGTGAATAATATTTGTATATTTTTGTTTTTTTTCTCTGTCTTGTTTCCCCCCCCCCCCCCCCATCGGAAACTTCCATTTTTACAAATGCTCCGCTACGCTTGTGGAATATTAACGGATGATGCGAGAATGAGATTGCTTCCTGTGGCCGCCTTGTTCCACGTTTAATCTCAGTATTACCAGTCGACAGTTGCGGCCAGCTGCTGCTGTTGCTTTGGCTCCAAGGAGGGCGACGACACGATTGCGAGTGGCAAGCCCCCACGTGAACACTCGGGGTCGGGCCCCCGTTTTGAGCCGTGGTGGAAACTGAACCCACGGCTGCCTCTTCCCCCCCCCCCACCCTTGCTGCTGACAGAGAGAAGATGGGGCCCCAGAGTTGTGCATCTCTTGGGCTCGAATGCCTCACACAGGCCGCGCAAGGGGGTAAATGTGTAGCCACTCGCAACGCGTGCGCGTCCGACGTTTTCGGTCAATGTGCATTATTACCTTAAAAGCATCGATCTTCGGAGAGTGCGAGTCGTGCTTTGCTCACCAGTTGTGTTCACTGCCCGCTTCTTCGCTTCAACTCCGCCCGACTTGAAGGCCGCGGGTCCCGTTTGTGTTGCCATTTTGACTGCCTGGAACGTTTGCGTTGAGTTTGGCTCCCCTCTGAACCGCAGCTGGGGGGTCTACCGGCGCAGCGTCGCCCGTGCGGCAGATGGCACCGGTTTCACGCCCGCCGAGGCAACCGGTGCCGGTCGGCGTTTAATCCTCTAGGTTTTTCCCCCCTTCCGTGGACAATCTCTTGTTGGCCGGACTGCCTGTCGGGAGCGACGTTGAAATTGGGCAACGTGGAGGGGAGGGCGACCGCTTCCCCCACCCCCCCCGGCAAAACGATGCTCACTTGCTGGCCGGTGCTGCGTTCACCTCGTGCCTCACAGGGAGAGCTGCCACTGGGGTGGTCCCCTGCCGCACGGACACCTCGAGATGTCACTGCATGGGAGGCGCGGTATAAATAGCCGCGGCCGTCGTCACGGCTCTTGTAGTTAAACCCGTTCATGTGCATCTGCTGTGGGAAAGAATGCCTGGTTGTCGGAATGCAGGCATCTCTTGTTCGGCCATAAATTAAGCCCATACTCCCTGTCCATCACATCTTATGAACACCCGTCTTCACACGCGCCAACCCTACCGATGTAAGCAGTAGGGCCCCAATTTTTTTTTTAAATACCCTTTAAACGACATCGATTTTCATAGCAAATAATATTCATCAATTTATTTTAAAAATTAAGCAGCATGATTTGCTTTGGAAATTGATGCGACTTTAACTCGATACTCTTAAGCCACTTGAGAAATTTCCCGGCCACCCCATTCCCAATATTGGCGCCCCGACGCCGGTGCCCCCTCAGGACGCCCCTCACCCTTGCGGTGTGTCGGAGTCACGTCCGTTCGCTTCATTTTAAATCTTTTATCCGACCGAAATAACTTTTGGGTTGTAAATGTGAAAACTTTAGCGATTATTTTTTTCTTTCCCTTTCTTTTACGTCAACACTGTGTTTTAAACAGTTTTTTTGAAGGGCACTTGTTGGGGACGATTGTGACTTCACAGCCGTACGTGCAGGGTGTTCCGGCCAGGCTCCGGATTTTCAGTGACCCCCCCCCCCCCTCCACTGGTTTGTCAGAATGTGAGAAATGTATTCTGCTTCTTTAAATGTAAGTCGATTCCATTTTTTTATTTATGCAATAAGCTCATGTTGTACGTCGCTGAAAGCACCAGTGCCTTTTGGTCGACATTGGTTAGTGAAATGCAATAGAGCACTTTTTTTTAAAGATCCGGTGTTTATTAAACAAAAGTGCTACTACAATGTGCTGGAGGGAGACAGTAGATGAAGTGCCTTGCAAGAACAACACGCATTGAAGCAGCAACTAAACAAGTTAACTCGTGCAGCTTTGTGAATTATAAATAAAATGTGATATTAAAGTATACGTGCCCTCACGGTGTGCCGCGATTGTTTTAAAGCGCTTTGCAAAACGAAGGGGGAGGTGGGTGGAGGGGGTCTAGGGGAGGGGGGAGGGGAGGGAGGGGGGAGGGGAGGGGGTGGGGGGAGTGGTGGGGGTAAGAACCCAAAGTCTAATTTGCCAGAGCTGAAATCGATACCACCTAAGGCAGCAAAGCACATCTTATAGTCGTACCCATTTATTGATACTGTGACCAGTGCATTACTTGATGGCCTCAGCGATTAATCACGGAATTCATCGTTATTTGCCACGCAAAAAAAATATGGAAAACTCAAGTAATACCCACCCCTTGGTGGCACCAACAAGTGACATTTCTGGCCTGGGTTCATGGACTCGCAAGCAAGAACAACCCCACTTCTGCCTGCGCGGGTTCCAGGTGGCACACGCAAGTTTCCCACTGGTAACTTTAATTGCCGTCCCCCCCCCCCCCCCCCCCCCATTTTTTTACACGACGATGTAAACGCAGTATAAATCGTGGCCCGCTTTGACCGAATTGTTTCAAAAAGTATCAGCGGACCGCGTCCCGCACGGGGCTCCCGTGTGTTTTCAGGGTCGTGACCGCGCGTTGCTCGCCGCGAGTTCCGACGGTTCTCTTCCACCACGCCCCCGGCTGTGAGACGTCGGGGCATCGCGGCGAACAACGAAAACTCATCGGAGAGCAAATAAACTACCTCCCTAGATGTGTTAAAATTTGCAGCCTTCTGAGAGACTGTTAATCTGGGTTTTATGCAAACGGTTTCGTCACATTGGTTCAACCCAACGGGTTTATTCTCCCTTCGTGTGTAAAAAGGGCTAGCGTTACGCCAAAAACGGATTCTTAATCGCGGTATCTGTAAATGACGTGCTGATGAACCAGCTCTGGCATCCGTCAAGGTTTGCAGGACAGGGCTTGCGCCAGTGTCTGCTGGTGCAGTTGGCGGTTTGCGTTTATCCCCCTGCGGATCCTGAGCGGATGACGGTGTCTGAAAGAGAGCATTAAGGGGCAGCCTCAAGATTAATCTCGACCTGAAGACAAGTTTAAACAACCCGAGGCACAATTTTGGTTTCTCGGAAAACAAACGCATTAAGTACAGACCCCCCCTCCTCCCTCACTCGGCTTGAACGCATCCTTCTGGCAGGAGGTGTCTGCGATTTGGCCGTGACAGCGCCACTGCTTTCCACGTTGGCAGCCATGGGCGAGTCCCAGCGTCTGTAATTATCCCATTCTGCGTCCACTCAAAAAACGTCCTCCTCGCCTCCCTCAAACGGGGAAATAATAAATGCTCAAGCCGTGAAACTACGTGTAGTTTTGACTGCCCTCCGAATTGTGGCCATTGTTTCTCAAGCGAAACGTTTGAAGGACGTGACCTGAATTCTTATTTACTTCCCACATCCACATAGAAGATGAATGCATTATTAGTTCCAAATAGACTTATTCGAGTATCTTGTCTGCACAATAGTGACACCCACTGGTCACTGATGTCCCATTCATGAAACCATGAATGCATTAGCTCTGGCTGTGACGACAACTGTCGATGCCCCTTCTTCACCTTTGTTTTGACCAGGAAATGTATAATTATCATGTCCTCTACCACTGTAACTATTTACTGCTGTTGCTGCGCGACCAGAAAAGTTAAGTAGAGGGCATGGGGTTCCATGACCTCTAAATAACCCCATGACCTATAAATTCATTACCAGCTACAGCTTCTCTATAAGATGCCAATTTTTTGACAATTCTTTTTTATAGCGATCGTGCTATAAGTGTTAAGCCACAAGGCAAAGTATCCATTGGATCTCTCGTAGTGAAGTGCAACCTTTCATTTTCAAGAACGGCCTGAAGAAGTGGATGTCGCAGAACTATTTTTTAAATCCCTTCAAGTGTCCTCCGATCCACACGATAGAGCTGAGAACTTTCCCACTCACTCTGCCACTGTTTTTCACATGACAGTCAAACCGATGTTTTTTTCTTAATTCTCAGCTGGAATTTATCCAATTTTAATGTGACTGGTTAAATAAAGTCCATTGTTAGGTTTCACCACCAGCTAAACAACTCCAGTCCAGCATCGCCACAGGAGTGCGGGGTAGTCCCAAGTGTCTTACAGGGCTACGTGTGGACGGGAGCTCCCGTGTGCTTCTGCCAAAGCTCAATGGCCTTGGTCACGATTACGTCCGTGTTCTCCTGCGGAATCTGAGAAGCAAAAATAAAAATATCTATTTTATGCTCTCTCCGTGCGCATCGCATACACCTGACCTTCATTCGCGACCAAAACACATCCCGACGTCAAAGCGCAGTTGTTCCAATCGTGCGGTTGTTTCAATGATTTTACCTTTTCCAAAAACTGCACAATGCTGTCGGCCTTGTTCATCGTCATGAGTGTCATCTTAAACGTGAGGAGGATTCCCATGGCGACGAAGACTAAAATCTTGCAGGAGCCACTCATGATCTTGTCCCACACCCTGTTGGAGTACAGGAGAGAGAGTTCAAAATGGGATCGGTTTTCAAAAGCGGACAAAACCGCCGAGCATAACACGTTTTTGTAAGCAATACCACAAAGGCTTTAGTATGTGTATTGATGCCGTATATATTTTATATAAGTTTTCTTCATTGCAAGGCCCATGGGGCTACTAGCCACGTCTGTACACAGATGTGAACACAACCCCCATCATCTTCATCGTGCTGTCAAATCCCAATGGGTTTGAATGTCTTGGTTTTTTCGGTAAAGTCATGTAGAAGGGAAATAATAAAAATAAAACATAAAATTCTCACGACGTTTCGGCCAAAACACAAGTAGCCTTCCTCAGGTGAAGAAACAGAACTGTTGGAAAGACAGCGCTCCAATGAACACTGCTAAGCTTGGCAGCGTATTTTAAGCTGGGTGGGAGGAGCAGAGCGCCTTGACAAAGGAGTTTACATATCAACAGAAGAATTTGGCATTGAAGTAGCTGTGTTAATGTGATAGATTAGCAGGATGTTAAAGTCAGAAATTAGCATGATGTTAGTGTGAGGGATTAGCATGTAACTGGTCACGGAAGTAGCTATGTTAAAGTCAGAGTTTACATATCAACAGAGGCATTTAGTATATTGACGCTAAATAACTGCAACTACCCAACTATCATACAATAAACCGATGTGAAAGAACTAAATATAAACTACATCAATATAATCAATGTACTCAATATATTTTCCAATAAGCTGAGCTATTAACATAAAGTAACTGGGTATACACTACACTATATAATGAATACCATATAGTAAACTGATAAAATACTAAAATATAAACTACTATATTATCAATAAACTCAATATACTCTCCAATCAGCTGAGCTACTAACAATAAGTCATTATACATTACAATTCTATGTCGAAAAAAGTGGCTTTTTCTTTTTTCCTCAACGTTAACACCACGGAAAGCGACGAGCTTTGTTCAGACGGACGAGTCCATCTATGCTCGGAGCGGAGGAGGGGGGAGAGAGAGAAACAGCCACGATTCGCTGCTCTGTCCTGTGTTGCGTTACAACTATGCTATAAACTAGACTACTATACATTACAATATTATACCTTCCAATCTAAACTATATTGTATAATATCGTATACACAGCCCAATGTAAGCTCTAACATTATGCATTATATTGATATGCCTCCAACTAAATTTTTTTCCACATTACACGACTATACACCGTAATATACACTGCCATAGACAAACCCAACCATTAAATTATACAATGCGTTACTATACACTACCCTATACTTTAGACTATAAAAATATTAGACTTGTAATATTACACTATGTATTATTCTACCAACCCTACTGTATACCACACTGCTGTATATTCACTATACAATTACGATACTATATATTGCCTTATGAATTATGTTCAACATAACACTGTTATACTATTTATTATTATACAATATGCTATAAACCATACCATTGACCGTCGTGTGAAAGGTACTAAGAGGCAGTGCCAGCGAATGGACTGCGGTCTGAAAGTCACTGTAAAATACAATCAATCAAGAACCGAAATGGTTTATCACGTCTTTCCAATGATTACTAAGCCAGAATCCATCTTCTCGGTTGAAATTGTCTCTGTGTTTGTATATGTGGATGGCCTCATGAACGAATCTCTCATGGTAGCCGGATGGCTTGCAGAGAACCTCCGTCTTGGAGAAGTCAATGTCATGTGAGCCCACTGAATTATAATAGTGATCTGCCACGGCTGAGGTGTTCGTCCTACCGTGTTTCAAGTCTGCTTTATGTTCACGGATGCGGTCCGAGACATGTCGTTTGGTTTCTCCAATGTAACTGCTACCACAGAGGCAACTTAGTTTGTAGACGCCCGGGTACTGTATGTCTGGAACCACATATTTTACAGACGCGACCAGATAACGGATTTTATGTACTATGTTGAATCGGACCTGGATCTTGTGTTTATTCAGGATTTTGGAGATATTTTTTGTGACCCCCGCAATGCAGGGTAAGGTGATGGTTTTGAATGGCTCCTCAAGAGGATCCTTCTTCATGGTTGAAGTGATGGCTTTGCGGATTGTGTAGTCGGAGTAACCATTAGCCTTGAGAGCTCGGTGTATGTGCTTGAGTTCACTGACAATGTGTTCCTGGTCGGAGATGCATTGGGCTCTATGGTATAGAGTTTTGATGAGGGAATTCTTCTGGGATGGATGGTGGTTGGAATCCGGTTTTAAGTAAGCATCCGTATGGGTAGCTTTCCTGTAGACAGAGTGGCTCATTGAACCATCAGGTCTCCTTTTAATTAGGACATCCAAAAGGGTAGCTTGCCATGTTTTTCGACTTCCATGGTAAATCTGATGGCTGGGTGTATGGAATTGATATGGTCGAGGAATTGGTCTAGAGCAGCCCGGCCATGTGGTCAGATGAGAAAAGTGTCATCCACGTACCTCTTCCATAAGGTCGGGCGTAGAGTGGCAGTCTGGATGGCGTCAGTCTCAAATTTCTCCATGAAAACGTT